GCTTTCAGAACCACACAGGCGAGACACACCACGGCCATCAGCTGAAACATCTGGGAGACAGCTCCGTTCAGCCATACCCCAGAAGGGTTCATTACTGTCTCCAGTACAGATTTCATGCGGCTGCCCTCATTCGCAGGCACTGTATAAAACCCCCAACCCTGTCAGCTTCTGCTGCGCTCTGTACTTCCTGTATGCACAGAGTCAAGCTTAAGCTTGTCTCTGTCACCAACAGAAGCTGGTCCAATAAAAGAGATTATCTCACCCCCCTTGTCTCTATAGTAAATCCTATGAACTGCATCCTCCACTGCAGCTACACTGATTCACAAAAGCAGCAGATTTACCAAATGGTAGAACGCAGGGAAGTGGCCGAGGGAATTGAAGCAGTTTTGTCGGAGAAGTTAAGGAGATTCAGCCGGAGGCTGCTATCTGTAGGGTCCCTGGGCTGGGACCCAGAGTAGTGGGTGCGCCCGTTTCCCCCCCACTCGCCACTAGGGAAGTGGCTGGCCTATAGAGCTGGGAGATTCTTCCCCCTCCCCCCAGAAGGGGGAAAACATGGATGGTGGTATGACGGAGGGCCGAGTCATGAAGAGGACTCTGTGGTTCCTGGAATCAGGCATTTCTGCAGGCAGAGAAGGCGGCGGGAGAGGCCTCACCAGTAGAGAGCTGAGAGAGCTAACCCCCGAGACGGCCAGCAGGAAGTGCCGCTCTGGTGAGTGAATCCCGTCATGGTGCCCCAGAGCTGCTGAGAGCTCCAAATGACAGACGCTTCAGAGGGGAGGGAGCTGTCTGCTGGCATTTCTTGGTGAGCCAAGGGAAATGACAGGATGGGCCAGGCCTCATTTGTGTTTCCCATATGTGGCAGTTTGGGGAACTGTGGTCAAAATTCAGTTACATTTTAAAACTGGGGTAATAAAACACTGTTATCCCTGTGGGTAAGAAAAGAGGAGGAGAACTGCTTTGGAGAGAGCCCAGCAGAGGGCAACAATTAGGAGGCTGTGGCACATGACTTATGAGGAGAGGCTGAGGGTACTGGGCTTATTTAGTCTGCAGAAGAGAAGAGTGACAGGGATCAGAAGGGAGGTTCCAGAGAGGATGGAGCTTGGCTGTTCTCAGTGATAACAGAT